TTGATGTGATGGAAAATATTATTTTATTGAGAAATGTATGGTTGAAAATGAGAATTGAATCAATTCTCAAATAAAAAACAAACACCTTCTTAGTATCTATTTTAAATTTTTATAAATGTCGATGAGATGTGTGACTAAAAAATTACGAATTTTATATAATGTATTATTAAAATTAATTGTTGATTTTAACTTAAATTAAAGTCTAAATTTTAATTTCTAACAAACATGATATAAATGCAATAATTTAAAATAGATACTAAGGAGGTATTTTTTTTTTATTTGAGAATTAACTACGTTGCATTATCAAATTTACTATCATAATAATTATTGCATTTATCATGTCTCAAATCAATTCTCAAATAAAAAACCAACACCTCCTTAGCATCTATTTTAAATTAACTACGTTGCATTACCAAATTTACTATCATAATAATTATTGCATTTATATCATGTTTGTTAAAAATTAAAATTTAGACTCTAATTTAAATTAAAATCAACAATTAATTTTAATAATATATAATAATATATTATATAAAATTCGTAACTTTTTAGTCACACATTTCATATACATTTATAAAAATTTAATAAAAATCTGATTTTAATCCGCGTGTTAAAATGTGCAACCCCATCTCTATTACACGCGCATGTACATACAAAGTAAACACTATCTCTGTGCTGGCAGAGCAAAGACAAAACCTTCAAGCTTTAACCCGAGATTGATTCGACCAAAATCGGTTCTGATTTTCTTTTGATTCTTGAAAAATGGCGAAGGAAATGAAGGAATTTCAGTTGTATAACAGTATGACAAAGCAAAAGGAGGTGTTCAGGCCTATTGTCGAGGGTAAGGTGGGAATGTACGTCTGCGGCGTCACCTCCTACGACCTCAGCCACATCGGTCACGCCCGTGCCTATGTGGCATTCGATGTACTTTACAGGTATGCACGCGTTCGTGCACTTATGTTTATTGTGAAATCAAAATTTATTTTTCTTTTTATCTGGAGACTGGAATGAGTATTTAGGAATTCCTTTATCGAGGGGGCTAGAAGATATTATGGTTCTTATGTGCTTGGGGAATCTGCAGGAGTGGCTACACTGAGAGAGAGAGAGAGAGAGAGAGAGAGAGAGAGGATTTGGGAGTTTCGAATTAAGAGTAATGTTATTCATCCAAACACAGTGCTCTAAATGATAGGTTAAATGAAAAGTGAAATTAAATGACCTATCATTTAATGCCACATGAACGCCACATAACTGTGTTTGCGACCCAGTGAGGATGAATAACATTATTCTTGAATGAAATAGATTTTCAGTATATGTAAAAAGTTGGGATATTGGTTCATATCGGCTTGGATATATGGTTTTTCTATGCCTGGATTGAAATGAAATTTAAGAATTGGTTAGGGTTTTAACCATTTTTTATGATTACAATAATCACATTCGCATATGTACATATGTTCATTTACATCCTGTCTTCAATGCGCTCCGTCATGTGTTGAACAGATTTACTTTTTGATCAAAGTTCCAATACTAGCACAATTTTCATTGATGGGCATTAAAACTTGGAATCCAGGTCTTTTGTGTGGCTTCGAAAGGGGGTAGTTCATAATGATGTCATGCTTGCCTTTGGTACTCTAGAAAAGCAAATTTTAATCGAACCTTTATTACTTGAATATATTTTGACTCGACTAAAAAAAGAAAAGAATTAATAGGCAAAGTCATACAAAAAAAAATACTCTAATCGATTTTTGAGTCTATCTATAAGAGGAGATCCGGTGAAAAATGTAGCCGATCAATCAAGTTGTTAGAATTAATAGGTCTTAAAATTGTTCATTTGAAAAATGGATACCCTTCTTATTGGATGATGATGATACTTCCCAATGATTCGATTGATGAAGAAGAAAGAGAATTCTCGGATCAGTTCTTTGCATGCTACATTGAATCATTTCATCTGTAAGCTAAAGTTTTTATAGGGAATATTTGACTTAGTAAATGTTTGAACCTTTTTAAATTGAAATTTGTACATCATTGTTGGTGATGATGATAAATGACAGGAAATCTGAAATAATTTGCCTGTTCAACGAATAACTAGTACAAATCACAGGCATTGCATCAGGAGTTATATTGTGGAGTAATATATTTGATTGTTATAAGATCCTACTAGTTATGTCAATATTTTGGAAAGGCTGGCCATTTTGTACACTAAATACATTATTTTAATTGAGCAACTCATAGCACTTTTTTCTTCTAAAACAGGAGTGAAGACAGAAGTCAGGTAAAGTCAAACAATTCTTCAAATGTGGTCATAGCTCACTGATGGATTTGTAGTTCTTGTAGGCTTTACTAATTAATTGGACAGTATTGGCGTTAATATGTATAATGTATCTCCAAAATTATATTCAGAAAAATATTTCTTTGTATATTTTCTTATAACGATAGGAGTTCTAGTTGTATTAGCTCAATAAGTAGATACAAATATTTCCTTGAACTCAAAACCGGTAGGATGGCACATGAGGCAGCTTATTTAAAGCTTGTTTTGATAGTGCTTATAAACGATTTTGTTTATAAATAGATAAAAGTGAGTGGTAGAGAAGGGGTTAGTACTTGTGGGTCCAGCAAAATGTGTGGATAAAAATTGGCTTGACCATTTTTAACCATTTATAAGCGGTATGTAAACACTTGCCAAACATATACTTATTTTGGCCAAGCATTTTGAGTTTACAAGGTAGATTTTATTTGGGTGGGCAAGACCACATATACTATCACAAATATCTGATTGTATTCCATTCTTTCTCTCATCTGTGAATTGTGATTACATCGAGTTATATTAATGGATGTTTGATTTCAAAAAAATAAAAAATAAAAAAAATTGTGTAGATTGAGTTTTACCAGAGATGCAAACTTTAG